AGTACATCAAATTTTGATGAAAAACCAATGAAATTTACATAAGCGTGTCATTGAAAGAATGTGGTTATTTTTGACATCCAAATATCGGATTTTTACTGCATCTATGAATAAGATTAGATGTAGTTCAAAGTTGTCAAAAATGAACAACATCCTTCCAATGACACGCTAATGTCAAATTCATAGGTTTTTCACCAAAATTGGAAGTACTTCAAGTATGTTATTTGTGGTGAAAATTCTACTTCTTTTTCCTCACTTTTTTTGCGGGGCACTTAAGAATTGGGAAAAAACTTATTTTTTTCGGCGTAGTTTGTAGTAGTTTTACTCATACCTTTTTACATCGTGAACCGATTTTGCTAATTTTCAATACCAAACTGTAACGGAAAATAAAGAATGTTTTGGGTGAATTTCAGATGAATATTTCATGGTGTTACACACGGAAAGACAAAGTTATATATACCCTCTATCACCACTCTATTGATCTGTTATGAATATAATATCATTATTTTTGCAATAATTTACGCGTTGCTATTCGTCATTTTAATTAAATTTTAAATTAAGCTATATAAAATTGTGTGACAAAAAATAGAGACAGTTTGCAAAAATATAAAAATTTGTAAACAATTTTCAAATTGAAATCGGTACAAATAGTATGTTTAAGGCTTATTATTACAATCCTAATATAATCTCTTTAAAAACTTTAATTTTGAGTCCAAAAAGAGGCAGAAGCAAAACTTGCAGGCGAGGCCGCACAAAAATTATAAAAATACGCCATGTTCAAGGTAAGGGCTATAGGCAAATTATTGAAATAATTTTTTGGTCTAAGAAAATAGTATAAAATGTAGAAATACATAAGTAACAAGTAAGTGTGCTATATTCGGCACAGCCAAAAATACGAAACTGAATGCACCAAGAAACAAAAACAATATACACAAGGCATTGAAACACACAGATATCCAAACATATGAAACAAAATACTCAATGAATAAGCAGTGTTGTTGCGTATATCAAAGCATGAAAAAAATTGTCTTTTTTAAGAAATTTTCAGAGGTTGTCTCGGATTTTTGCTCATATCTCCGGCATTTATGGACCGATTTTGTTGATTTTAAATAGCGATCTTCTTGAAAGCATGTCTAACAGAATTATTGAAGATTTGGATCTGGCCGATATCTGGCGTCCTCTAAAAACTGAAACTGATTTCAACAAACACACAGACAGGCAGACGGACAGACAGACAGACGGACATAGCTCAATAAACTCCGCTACCTATAATGATCCAGAATATATATACTTTATGGGAAAATTATATTATAGAAATTACAAACGGAATGACAAACTTATATGTATATACCTACCCTTCTCACGAAGGTGAAGGGTATAAAAACCAGAAAATATCAAAGAAAAAAATAAGAAATAAGACCTTTTTGGAGCAAGAAAAATGGAGACATGTAAAAAAATTGCGCTTTTGAGGACATAATAGTGGGAATCTTCTTAAAAGTACTATTTCTCATTCAGCATAGCATCATTAATTATAATTATGGAATATTTACAGTCCTATCTTCCCTCAATTCCCTCATTGAGGACAAAATCCAGTGTTGGAACATCTACGTACAGCTATACGGATCATATCAGAATTAAATAAATAGACTTTTTTACATTTGACCACAAAATATTTCGATTCCTGCTCAAGGGAGATTTCAAATAATTTTGAGAAATTTTATTTTTTTCAGGATCTTTAAAGTACCATACATACAAGTACTTTTCTACTAATTTTATCCTTTAAATTATTTTTATATATGAGAGATCTTACTGTTAAGCTGGCAGCATCTAAGTTATATTCCCTTTTAAGTTTACATGGAGCATTTTCATTTTTCATTTTTTCTCGATATTTTTGGCTTAAACTTATATTTTACAGCATATTCTATTACTTTCTTGGAGGACCAAATTATTTCAAGGGAATTTCCGTTTTTATGTAGCTCGCGTTTTTTAACGGTTTAGAGCCGTCACAGAAACTAGAAACAGAGTGAAATGGCAGACACGGGCATTACTATGTTATCAGATTATTTTTAGACCGTTTGTTTCAAATTAATAACTGGCATACTTTGTCTAAAAAATTATAGCAAATTTATTTTATAACATGTTTTTAGTATATTTTTGGCCACTGAAGTTTAATAGATTATTACAACAATAACAATGAATTTAGTTAAATTGTTTGATTTAATATTTATTCTGAGCACTTTCCTCTACTCAATAATGCAAAAAGAAATAAACCAGAGTTGACCTTTTTTTAATACAGCCTTAAAAATTAAGTGTTCCCAAATTGGCACAGCGACCGTAAATGGGTTAAAAATGGGGAAAGAGTACTAGCTGCAACGGCTATCGACTCTGAATTTTCGAAAATAACTATAAATTAGATTACAATTTATTGATTAGTTTTGTTCTTAGAAGAAATTTGTGGAGTAATTCGATATTGTACTCAGATAAATTTTTTAGGCAAATGGTGGGTTGCATGGATCCAAAAATGTTTGTTCTTGTATTCTGTAAAGATGGACACTCATCAAGTATGTGTGTAATGTTGAGTTGGATATTGCATGTGGAACAAATTGGTGGTGACGATTTATCCAGAAGATGTTTATGTGTTAATTTGGTATGACCAATTCTCATTCGAGAAATTAGATTTGTAATATTTCTTGGGTAAGATTTTGGATATTTTGCTTGGACACCCAAAGGATTAATGATTTTGTACGGATGTTGATAATTTGACCAATTACAACTTATATAATTATCATAATATAAGATTCAAAATATTGCGAGGTTCACAGGTATAAAAAGTATATAGTGGTCTATTTTTAGCTTCAGCTGCAGTTATATCAGCAAATTCATTGCCCGGAATACCGACGTGTGAAGGAATCCATAAGAAATTGATTTTGTTGGGGTTTTTAATGCAGATGTTTCTTATTTTGGTAATCAGGGGAGAATCATATAGTGTATTTTTTATGGCCATTAGAGAAGAAAGACTGTCAGAACAAATAACGGATTTTGACGGATAATGGGAAGCATACTCAACTGCCATGTATATGGCATATGCTTCAGCTGTAAAGTTGGAGCAGTGATTATCGACAAAGCCACTGTATATACACAAACCATCGTTCTGAACAACTGCAAATGTTGTAAAGTGGGATGATTTTGAACCATCGGTGAATATTAGTTTACAGCCGTGTTGTTGGAGATTATATTTAATGTCGTTAAAGACTTGTTTATAAATCGTTGGTGAAGTAGAGGATTTCGGTAGTGATTTGATTGATTCAATAAAGATTGTGTTATCTAACAGCCAGGGTGGTTCGGAGGGGGTTCCAAGATAACATGGGCGACATGTTAAACCTATGATCTTTGAATAATCAAGGCATTTAATCAACGTGGATTTATATTTTGGTGTTCTTGTGCGGTTAAGTGTTTTAGTTAACTATACAACAATTTGTCTTTAGCCCTTTCTCAGATAATGGAGTGTTTTTATCGTTTTTCTGCTGTATCGCCTGCAATGTTTGCCTCTGCTGTCCCTTTTTATACCCTTCACCTTCGTGAGAAGGGTATATATAAGTTTGTCATTCCGTTTGTAATTTCCAAAATATAATTTTCCGACCCCATAAAGTATATATATTCTGAATCCTTATAGATAGCGGAGTCGATTAAGCCATGTCCGTCTGTCTGTCTGTTGAAATCAGTTTTCTGAAGACCCCAGATATCTTCGGGATCCAAATCTTCAATAATTCTATCAGACATGCTTTCGAGAAGTTTCCTATTTAAAATCAGCAAAATCCGTTCATAAACAACGGAGATATAAGCAATAATCCGAGAAAACCTCTGAAAATTTCATAAAAAATAAACAACAACACTGCTTATTCATTGCCTTTGTATTTTGTTTTTGTTTTTTTCAGTATTTCGTTTCGTATGTTTGGATGGCTGTGTGTTTCATTGCCTTGTGTATATTGTTTTTGTTTCTTGGTACATTCAATTTCGTATGTTTGGATGGCTGTGTGTTTCATTGCCTTGTGTATATTGTTTTTGTTTTCTTGGTGTATTGAATTTCTTATGTTTGGATGCGGCTTCATTGCGTTGTGTATTTTGTTTTTGTTTTTTTCTGTATTTCGTTTCGTATGTTTTGCTATTGCTATAATAATGATATAGTCGGGAAAATGAATTTTTAAATACACTATGGTGAAGGGTATATAAGATTCGACACAGCCGAATATAGCACTCTTACTTGTTGTACTTAAAATCATAATATTTTAATGAGATTCTTTAAGAATTATAATAAAAAGCCTTAAATTTACTACTATTTAGATCGATTTCAGTTTGAAAATTGTCTACAAATTGTTAAATTTTTATATTTTTGCAAACTGGCTCTATTTTTTGTCACACCATTTTATATAGCTTAATTTAAAATTTCATTAAAATTACGAATAGCGACGCGTAAATTATTGCAAAAATAATGGTATTATATTCATAGTTAGTTAGTTAGTTTGGAAGGAGGATGTATATACATACATCAAAGCCGAAGAAGTAAACCTAGGCCTCTATCGGGCCTGTTGTGCACTCCTTAACCTCAGGTGGGAATCGAACCCACCACCTCCGGTCTACCAGACTAGAACACTAACCACTAACCTACCGGAGGCCACATTATATTCATAACAGATCAATACAAAATTTCAGTTAGTTTTTCCAACTGAATTCTTCATTGGACAGATTTTAAGTGAAGAGAAACTTTGAAAGAAGGGGTGGCTCTATTTTTTTGGAACATGTAGTAGAACATAGTGCTTTTCGTATTTTTTTATTCAAATGTGAATATTGTTGCAAAAAAGGGTGCTCACGTCAATTAGAGTAAGATTTTCGCAAGTGTATACCTTAATTATATAATATTGCTATCGATTTTTTTAATTTTAAATATTTTGAAACATGATGTTCAATTTTTTAATATGTATATTAAAAATTATTTGTTTTTTTAGGAATCAATGGTACTTCGACATCACAATGAAGCTGAGAGTTTACATGCTGTACAGTTAATGGATTGGGAAACTGCATTAAAGAAATATGAGCTTTGTGATCTAAATTCACAAATAATTGTAGAAACGGATCATGTACCAATAGTATATGTTAGCGACGACTTTGATTTATTACCTGCTTAGGATACCAGAAAGAATTTAAATTAATATTATGGCTAACAACTTAATAAATTATAAAAAGGTCCCATTATTACCACTGGGCAATAACTATGTTATAACTTGTTTCTAGTTATTATAATTTTACTTTAAAGATTATCGATAAAACGATAAAACGATAATAATAATATAATATAATATATATATATATATATATATATATATATATATATATATATATATATATATATATATATATATATATATATATATATATATATATATATATATGAATAAATTACTATTTCAGGCTCGATATATAAATCAGTTTACTGCTGGCAGTGGAAAAAATCTATTCATATTCTGGTGTCTGTGAATATAGACATATATTTTTTAAAAAATAGGCTGCGGTAAGCCATTGACTGAAGATTAAAATGGCAAAATTTTTGCGTTTTTGGAAACTGTGCCTGTGTTCTGTAACTTTCGAATCGGCAAAAAAATTCGAAAAATTTATAATCGTCTTGTTTAAAACAGAGTGAACATACGTAATTCAAATAAATTTTCGTTAATTGTAATATGTTTAGTTTAAAAATTATTTGAATCACGCAACTAAAAAGTGGAAGACTCTAATATTCCAATGTTTTATTCTCGACTCGAAAGTTACAGAACACGGGCACTGTCCAAAATCACAGGAATTTGGCAAAAAATTGGGCAAATTTAGAATGAATATTAAGAAAACATTAATAAACGTACATATGGAGTCATAACAAAAGAAGACAGGAGAGATTTCATAAAATCTGGCTCCAAGTCAAGTGATTCTGCAGCAAAAATTTAATAAAAAGTGGTTGTTACAGCAAGCCTAGCTGCAGTAAAACGTATTGTAAGAAGGGCCAAGGCTTTAACAATATTAAAAAATTAATAAAACCTTTCCAATTGCCACTCGTAATGAAAACCCCTCTTCAGTTTGCACATGAACACATAGTTATAAAAAGCAATATCAACATCTTGTTTTTTTCGGATGAAAAAAAGTTTAATTTAGAAGGTCCAGATCGATATAATAATTATTTTTATGATTTTTGAAATTAAGAGCTCTACCTGAGTTGTCTGCATAGCTGTGGAGGATGTTGGATGTATTGGGGGCAATTTCGTATTATGAGACATGTGAGCTTCAATTTCTTTCATCTAGTAGGAATTGTAATAATTGTAATGCCATACTGGAAACAGCTTTTTCACATTTTCGGATATCTTTGAACCCTTGCCGTGGATATTTCAAAAATATAATGCCCCGATCCATACCGCCAGGGCTGTAAATGTATGGATTCGATGCCAGAATGTAAAAATTTTGGAATAGCCTCCGTAATCATCTCACCTATTTATTATTGAAAATGTTTCGGCTATAGGTCGGGTAGACAGTATAACACAAAAGAAGCCTAAATTGAAGGAACTAAAAAGGCTTGGACCGAAATTCCCTTGTCATTACTTAAGAATCTTAATAACTCTTTATCTCAAGTAACGGCGGATATGTTTCTTACTCAATATTTTCTAAAACCTTGTAAAAATATTTATAGAAATAAAAAAGTTTACTGAAAAATGCATTTTGTTGTTGTTTTTGTAAATTAAAGATGATGAACCTAAATAAGCCAAAAAAAAAAAAATTGTCCAAAAACGTAGTGTTTTAGAAAAAAAAACTTTTAAAAATCGGTTATTAAGTATTGCACTAATGTTTGTCTATCTAGTGATACATAAGACATTATGCTATTAATTAAAATTTTAATATAACCAATTAGTCCATTATTTTTTGCAAAAAATTAATTTGAATGTAAACAAAATAGTAAACCTGTTTAAGTGAGCGGGAGTGTATATATATATATATATATATATATATATATATATATATATATATATATATATATATATATATATATATATATATATATATATATATATATATATATATATATATATATGAATAAATTACTATTTCAGGCTCGATATATAAATCAGTTTACTGCTGGCAGTGGAAAAAATCTATTCATATTCTGGTGTCTGTGAATATAGACATATATTTTTTAAAAAATAGGCTGCGGTAAGCCATTGACTGAAGATTAAAATGGCAAAATTTTTGCGTTTTTGGAAACTGTGCCTGTGTTCTGTAACTTTCGAATCGGCAAAAAAATTCGAAAAATTTATAATCGTCTTGTTTAAAACAGAGTGAACATACGTAATTCAAATAAATTTTCGTTAATTGTAATATGTTTAGTTTAAAAATTATTTGAATCACGCAACTAAAAAGTGGAAGACTCTAATATTCCAATGTTTTATTCTCGACTCGAAAGTTACAGAACACGGGCACTGTCCAAAATCACAGGAATTTGGCAAAAAATTGGGCAAATTTAGAATGAATATTAAGAAAACATTAATAAACGTACATATGGAGTCATAACAAAAGAAGACAGGAGAGATTTCATAAAATCTGGCTCCAAGTCAAGTGATTCTGCAGCAAAAATTTAATAAAAAGTGGTTGTTACAGCAAGCCTAGCTGCAGTAAAACGTATTGTAAGAAGGGCCAAGGCTTTAACAATATTAAAAAATTAATAAAACCTTTCCAATTGCCACTCGTAATGAAAACCCCTCTTCAGTTTGCACATGAACACATAGTTATAAAAAGCAATATCAACATCTTGTTTTTTTCGGATGAAAAAAAGTTTAATTTAGAAGGTCCAGATCGATATAATAATTATTTTTATGATTTTTGAAATTAAGAGCTCTACCTGAGTTGTCTGCATAGCTGTGGAGGATGTTGGATGTATTGGGGGCAATTTCGTATTATGAGACATGTGAGCTTCAATTTCTTTCATCTAGTAGGAATTGTAATAATTGTAATGCCATACTGGAAACAGCTTTTTCACATTTTCGGATATCTTTGAACCCTTGCCGTGGATATTTCAAAAATATAATGCCCCGATCCATACCGCCAGGGCTGTAAATGTATGGATTCGATGCCAGAATGTAAAAATTTTGGAATAGCCTCCGTAATCATCTCACCTATTTATTATTGAAAATGTTTCGGCTATAGGTCGGGTAGACAGTATAACACAAAAGAAGCCTAAATTGAAGGAACTAAAAAGGCTTGGACCGAAATTCCCTTGTCATTACTTAAGAATCTTAATAACTCTTTATCTCAAGTAACGGCGGATATGTTTCTTACTCAATATTTTCTAAAACCTTGTAAAAATATTTATAGAAATAAAAAAGTTTACTGAAAAATGCATTTTGTTGTTGTTTTTGTAAATTAAAGATGATGAACCTAAATAAGCCAAAAAAAAAAAAAATTGTCCAAAAACGTAGTGTTTTAGAAAAAAAAACTTTTAAAAATCGGTTATTAAGTATTGCACTAATGTTTGTCTATCTAGTGATACATAAGACATTATGCTATTAATTAAAATTTTAATATAACCAATTAGTCCATTATTTTTTGCAAAAAATTAATTTGAATGTAAACAAAATAGTAAACCTGTTTAAGTGAGCGGGAGTGTATATATATATATATATATATATATATATATATATATATATATATATATAATATATATATATATATATATATATATATATATATATATATGAATAAATTACTATTTCAGGCTCGATATATAAATCAGTTTACTGCTGGCAGTGGAAAAAATCTATTCATATTCTGGTGTCTGTGAATATAGACATATATTTTTTAAAAATAGGCTGCGGTAAGCCATTGACTGAAGATTAAAATGGCAAAATTTTTGCGTTTTTGGAAACTGTGCCTGTGTTCTGTAACTTTCGAATCGGCAAAAAAATTCGAAAAATTTATAATCGTCTTGTTTAAAACAGAGTGAACATACGTAATTCAAATAAATTTTCGTTAATTGTAATATGTTTAGTTTAAAAATTATTTGAATCACGCAACTAAAAAGTGGAAGACTCTAATATTCCAATGTTTTATTCTCGACTCGAAAGTTACAGAACACGGGCACTGTCCAAAATCACAGGAATTTGGCAAAAAATTGGGCAAATTTAGAATGAATATTAAGAAAACATTAATAAACGTACATATGGAGTCATAACAAAAGAAGACAGGAGAGATTTCATAAAATCTGGCTCCAAGTCAAGTGATTCTGCAGCAAAAATTTAATAAAAAGTGGTTGTTACAGCAAGCCTAGCTGCAGTAAAACGTATTGTAAGAAGGGCCAAGGCTTTAACAATATTAAAAAATTAATAAAACCTTTCCAATTGCCACTCGTAATGAAAACCCCTCTTCAGTTTGCACATGAACACATAGTTATAAAAAGCAATATCAACATCTTGTTTTTTTCGGATGAAAAAAAGTTTAATTTAGAAGGTCCAGATCGATATAATAATTATTTTTATGATTTTTGAAATTAAGAGCTCTACCTGAGTTGTCTGCATAGCTGTGGAGGATGTTGGATGTATTGGGGGCAATTTCGTATTATGAGACATGTGAGCTTCAATTTCTTTCATCTAGTAGGAATTGTAATAATCGTAATGCCATACTGGAAACAGCTTTTTCACATTTTCGGATATCTTTGAACCCTTGCCGTGGATATTTCAAAAATATAATGCCCCGATCCATACCGCCAGGGCTGTAAATGTATGGATTCGATGCCAGAATGTAAAAATTTTGGAATAGCCTCCGTAATCATCTCACCTATTTATTATTGAAAATGTTTCGGCTATAGGTCGGGTAGACAGTATAACACAAAAGAAGCCTAAATTGAAGGAACTAAAAAGGCTTGGACCGAAATTCCCTTGTCATTACTTAAGAATCTTAATAACTCTTTATCTCAAGTAACGGCGGATATGTTTCTTACTCAATATTTTCTAAAACCTTGTAAAAATATTTATAGAAATAAAAAAGTTTACTGAAAAATGCATTTTGTTGTTGTTTTTGTAAATTAAAGATGATGAACCTAAATAAGCCAAAAAAAAAAAAAATTGTCCAAAAACGTAGTGTTTTAGAAAAAAAAACTTTTAAAAAATCGGTTATTAAGTATTGCACTAATGTTTGTCTATCTAGTGATACATAAGACATTATGCTATTAATTAAAATTTTAATATAACAATT